CTAAATGAACAAGCCTACAGCCTATGGCATGGTGCATAGCCAAATAACATACAGTACAACTCATTCTGTTCTTCTGAAATACATTTTCTTCATATCATAGTGTTTCTTTAGACCTGCCTAAAATAAATAATGTATTTATTGTGATGGTGTATATTAAATTGATTTATTCTACTTTTTTAAATGTAGATGTTCCAAAGCCGCACATCAGCGGCTTGTACAGTGGGGAGAACAAGTATTTGATACACTGCCGATTTTGCAGGTTTTCCTACTTACAAAGCATGTAGAGGTTTGTAATTTTTATCATAGGTACACTTCAACTGTGAGAGACGGAATCTAAAACAAAAATCCAGAAATTCACATTGTGTGATTTTTAAGTAATTAATTTGCATTTTATTGCATGTATTTGATCACCTACCAACCAGTAAGAATTCCGGCTCTCACAGACCTGTTAGTTTTTCTTTAAGAAGCCCTCCTGTTCTCCACTCATTACCTGTATTAACTGCACCTGCTTGAACTCGTTTACTGTATAAAAGACACCTGTCCACACACTCAATCAAACAGACTCCAACCTCTCCACAATGGCCAAGACCAGAGAGCTGTGTAAGGACATCAGGGATACAATTGTAGACCTGCACAAGGCTGAGATGGGCTACAGGACAATAGGCAAGCAGCTTGGTGAGAAGGCAACAACTTTTGGCGCAATTATTAGAAAATGGAAGAAGTTCAAGATGACGGTCAATCACCCTCGGTCTGGGGCTCCGTGCAAGATCTCACCTCGTGGGGCATCAATGATCATGAGGAAGGTGAGGGATCAGCCCAGAACTACACGGCAGGACCTGGTCAATGACCTGAAGAGAGCTGGGACCACAGTCTCAAAGAAAACCATTAGTAACACACTACGCCGTCATGGATTAAAATCCTGCAGCGCACGCAAGGTCCCCCTGCTCAAGGCAGCGCATGTCCAGGCCCATCTGAAGTTTGCCAATGACCATCTGGATGATCCAGAGGAGGAATGGGAGAAGGTCATGTGGTCTGATGAGACAAAAATAGAGCTTTTTGGTCTAAACTCCACTCGCCGTGTTTGGAGGAAGAAGAAGGATGAGTACAACCCCAAGAACACCATCCCAACCGTGAAGCATGGAGGTGGAAACATCATTCTTTGGGGATGCTTTTCTGCAAAGGGGACAGGACGACTGCACCGTATTGAGGGGAGGATGGATGGGGCCATGTATCGCGAGATCTTGGCCAACAACCTCCTTCCCTCAGTAAGAGCATTGAAGATGGGTCGTGGCTGGGTCTTCCAGCATGACAACGACCCGAAACACACAGCCAGGGCAACTAAGGAGTGGCTCCGTAAGAAGCATCTCAAGGTCCTGGAGTGGCCTAGCCAGTCTCCAGACCTGAACCCAATAGAAAATCTTTGGAGGGAGCTGAAAGTCCGTATTGCCCAGCGACAGCCTCGAAACCTGAAGGATCTGGAGAAGGTCTGTATGGAGGAGTGGGCCAAAATCCCTGCTGCAGTGTGTGCAAACCTGGTCAAGACCTACAGGAAACGTATGATCTCTGTAATTGCAAACAAAGGTTTCTGTACCAAATATTAAGTTCTGCTTTTCTGATGTATCAAATACTTATGTCATGCAATAAAATGCAAATTAATTACTTAAAAATCATACAATGTGATTTTCTGGATTTTCTTAGATTCCGTCTCTCACAGTTGAAGTGTACCTATGATAAAAATTACAGACCTCTACATGCTTTGTAAGTAGGAAAACCTGCAAAATCGGCAGTGTATCAAATACTTGTTCTCCCCACTGTATGTGTGGAGGCCTGGAGATGCTACATGTGTTTATGTTAATTAACGGTCAATTACTGCAATCTATTGCATGACAATAACCAGCTGACAACATTTCATGACTGCCACAGCCCTAATTGCATTGTTCTCTTTGTAGACGTTCAAGTTGTTTTCATATGTTCACATGTCCTATCTGTCGTGACGTGACTTTCATCAATCTGATGACTGTTATTTATCGAATCAACTAACTATGTTTAATTATTACCCAATTCAATTAATCATGTAACAATTAACTCATTAGGAATTTGGGGCACCACGGAAGAAGTTGTTTAAAGAGTTACCATCTCCCGAATTAAACTCTAAAGGTCTTTACCTATCACATCCATAAAACAGTCAACGTATTAATTCATAACCTCTTGTCATATCATTCTGAATGAAAACCCCAGCTTTACTTATGATTCAGCACTACACAAATTGGTTTAATCATTTATTTACAAGCGAACTAAATAATAACACAGAATAACATACAGTGTCTTGCAAAAGTATTCATCCCCCTTGGCATTTTTCCTATTTTGTTGCATTACAACCTGTAATTTAAATGGATTTTTATTTGGATTTCATGTAATGGACATACACAAAATTGTCCAAATTGGTGAAGTGAAATGAAAAAAATTACTTGTTAAAAATAATTCAAATAAATAAATAACGGAAAAGTGGGCGTGCATATGTATTCACCCCCTTTGCTATGAAGCCCCTAAATAAGATCTGGTGCAACCAATTACCTTCAGAAGTCACATAATTAGTTAAATAAAGTCCACCTGTGTGCAATCTAAGTGTCACATGATCTGTCACATGATCTCAGTATATATACACCTGTTCTGAAAGGCCCCTGAGTCTGCAACACCACTAAACAAGGGGCACCACCAAGCAAGCGGCACCATGAAGACCAAGGAGCTCTCCAAACAGGTCAGGGACAAAGTTGTGGAGAAGTACAGATCAGGGTTGGGTTATAAAAAAAGATCAGAAACGTTCAACATCCCACGGAGCACCATTAAATCCATTATTAAAAAATGGAAACAAACCTGCCAAGAGAGGGCCGCCCACCAACACTCACGGACCAGGCAAGGAGGGCATTAATCAGAGAGGCAACAAAGAGACCAAAGATAACCCTGAAGGAGCTGAAAAGCTCCACAGCGGAGATTGGAGTATCTGTCCATAGGACCACTTTAAGCCGTACACTCCACAGAGCTGGGCTTTACGGAAGAGTGGCCACAAAAAAGCCATTGCTTAAAGAAAAAAATAAGCAAACACGTTTGGTGTTTGCCAAAAGGCATGTGGGAGACTCCCCAAACATATGGAAGAAGGTACTCTGGTCAGATGAACTAAAGTTGAGCTTTTTGGCCATCAAGGAAAACGCTATGTCTGGCGCAAACCCAACACCTCTCATCCCCCCCAGAACACCATCCCCACAGTGAAGCATGGTGGTGGCAGCATCATGCTGTGGGGATGTTTTTCATCGGCAGGGACTGGGAAACTGGTCAGAATTGAAGGAATGATGGATGGCGCTAAATACAGGGAAATTCTTGAGGGAAACCTGTTTCAGTCCTCCAGAGATTTGAGACTGGGACGGAGGTTCACTTTCCAGCAGGACAATGACCCTAAGCATACTGCTAAAGCAACACTCGAGTGGTTTAAGGGGAAACATTTAAATGTCTTGGAATGGCCTAGTCAAAGCCCAGACCTCAACCCAATTGAGAATCTGTGGTATGACTTAAAGATTGCTGTACACCAGCGGAACCCATCCAACTTGAAGGAGCTGGAGCAGTTTTGCCTTGAAGAATGGGCAAAAATCCCAGTGGCTAGAAGTGCCAAGCTTATAAAGACATACCCCAAGAGACTTGTAGCTGCAATTGCTGCAAAAGGTGGCTCTACAAAGTATTGACTTTGGGGGGGGGTGAATAGTTTTGCACGCTCAAGTTTCCGTTTTTTTGTCTTATTTCTTGTTTGTTTCACAATAGAAAATATTTTGCATCTTCAAAGTGGTAGGCATGTTGTGTAAATCAAATGATACAAAGGAGTAAGAAATCATGAATATATTTACGTGTGGATGCCTTTGTTCAAAGTCTATCTCTGTCAAACCCAAGCCCTCTGGGAATGGGGGTTTTGGCTGGGTCTTCACTCAGCTCACTTGTAAGGCTCTGATTGTTCACAAGAGGTCACAATGTCCTTCTTCTTAGTTGTCCTAGTTTGTAGTGGAGTGTTTCTTCAGAACAGCTACTTAGCTGTACCAGTGATTGTCTGCTTTCCACCTTGTGTGGTTAGTCAGAGTTTGAACCACTTGACACACACAGCTGCAGCCTGGCAATGTTCGGGTCAAGTCTGGGAGGTGATCTTCTTCACCTCGTGTTGAGGTTCAACGTTCCAACCATTTTCAGACGTGTAGTGACCGCCTCACGTCTTTCTGGTCTAATGTTAATTTTGTTATCAAGGCTTTTTATGCACACTGGCCGAAGGGCGTTCCGTCATGCTGACACGCTCTCTGAGCTCCCTCGGGGCGTGGCTACTTACTTGTGCAAAGCTTATATGAAAAACAATTATCTCATTAGAAAATTAAAATCACATTCCTATCTAAACAAAGATGCATTCATCATTTTTCATATTATATACACAACGTATTGGATGAAAACTTGACAGATAAAGTGTGTATACTTTTCAAGTTACAGTATTTTATTGATACCATTCTTAATGACATCACTAAATAATAAACAATATGACATGATTTTTCTTTAGATCCCCACTGACCATTCACCACATTCTTATGTTATAAATATTGTTCCAGTATTCATAATTTGAACATTTGAGTTTTGGGCGGGAAAAAGTCTCTGGAGACAAAAGACATTCCTCTAGCCAATACTAGAGGGTACAGAGAGAGTCCTCTCCTGCTTAAATTTACGACCGGGTGTGAGGTGTCAAAACCGGCCCAGTGCCCTCCTCCCCTCTTCTGTGGGTGGGAGAGGCCTGGTTATTGTCAACCATTGCCAAGCTAATCGGAGCCCTTAGATCCTCACACAGGACAGTCATGACATATCTCAGCCTAATAGATTACACAGAATGTATACCAGCACACACCCAGAGTTCCTCACACCATGGAGACCACTCTAATATACCCATGTTCATTTCTTAATGGAATCTCTTTATTTATTTATAGATGGCTGTCCTGGAAATACAGGCTAATGGAGATGCTGTTGTGTCCAAGGAGGCCATCACCAACGCAGGCCAGTCTCTGGAGGATCCTCTTATGAGAGTCAGTCTCACTCATGTTTCCATCCATTGGCCCAAATATAGCAAAGCATCACAGTGGGCCAATGTACAAAAACACATTTGATTAAAACCCACACCTTATGAAATCAAGTTTATTGAATGTACATGTTAAAGGATCCCAACACACTAATTAAACCCTAACTAATACGCTACATAGCTTTGACCTTTGACCTCCACTCTCTCTTGCAGGAGTTTACTCAGTCATGTGTGCGTCATGAGGCCAAGCAGCGTCCCACAGCCCACGACCTGCTGTTCCACCGTGTGCTGTTTGAGGTTCACTCCCTCAAGCTACTGGCTGCCCACTGCCTCATCAGTAACCAGTGTGAGTATCTCCTCAGTCCTCAGCTCTGAAGCCCCAATGCACATGGCATGCAATCTGTGGAATGACAACTGCAATCTGTTTGGCATGACAATGAGTGGCAAGAAGTGGCATGATGGCACAAACAGAATGGTACCCAGGCTAGCCATTTGTGTGGGAGAGAGAAAATGTTTCCACGTCTATTTCCTTTTTGTCATGGGACAGCTGAAAAATACTGAAATCCTTTTTGGGATTTCATGGGATTTCTTTGGACGTCTGTTGTTACAATGGAAGTGGAAAAGTTGTTCTATTTAATTTGCTATATAACAAACTGGTGTGGCATCCATGTAATGCTCCCTTACCCCTCTCTCTTTGCAGACCTGCTGCCAGAGAACTGTGTGGAGGAGAAGACCAAGTCCTTTGACCCCAATGGTCTCATGGCAGAAATCAAACATGGCAACCGGCCTGGCGTCCAGCTCAAGTATTCCCATGTGTCTCCTTTGGAGCTGGACAAGTTCCTTGAGGACGTCAAGTAAGGGCTAATTCGATTCACCCATTGGGCTCTGGTCAAAAGTAGTGCACTATATAGGGAATACGGTGCGATTTAGGATGCAGCCTTAGAGGGCTGCCTTGGTCATTGCCTCTTATGGGCTTTGTGTAGCGTGTCTTTAAGAGATGGCCTTGTGGCCTCTGACTTCATTCTGACTCCCCCCTCTTCAGGAATGGGATATACCCCCTCATGAACTTTGCGTCGTCGCGTCCCCACCCTGTACCCCGTGCCCTATCCCTGTCCCACGAACAGGTGGAGACGGCGAAGTCCCCCACCCCTGAGCCCCAAGAGACAGAGAGCAGAAAGGTGAGGGTTAGGTGTGTGTCTGTGTATGTCTCTTTCTATTTGTTTATGTGTGTGTGTTAAGCCCTATTTGGACAGGATTAATTTTACTGGTGGAGGTCGGGTAATGTAATTATGTGCACGAGCACAAAACACCACATTCGTAATTCTAGTCCCGTGGGAATCTGCCACGTCAGTAATTTTTACATTGTAGGAGAGTAACAATTCCAGCCAGAATAACTACTAGGGTTTTTTGGCAAATTCCAAGGTCCTCTGATGATACTAGTTCCTGTGCGAATCGACATCCCTGTGTTTTGAGAGAAATGTCTGAGTTTGGCAGCTGTTGCTCACGGTTTGAGCAAGAAAACAAAAACTGATTTGATAAATTGAACGAAGTGCTGCGCATAAGATATAATGAAGGGCCTACATGTATCAACTTTCACAGTGAATGCTTTTATTTATATGTTTTGTGCGTATTAATTGAATATTGCCAAATGCATCAGTAAAAGATATTGCGCCTATTTAATGTAACCCTTGCCGTTAATAGATGGCCATGCAGCATACAGCTGACCTAAACTTTTGGAAATGATAAGTTCACTTTCTCATTCATAGCAAGTGCACTGGCACTGTTTAGCTCACATCTGAAGGATAGGGGGCATTTAGGATGTCTACTGCGGATCGCTAAAATATCCTAATGATTATGATCACACTTCTTCAATTCAAATATTATGGCGACACTATACCAAAGATGGTTTGGTATGGTTTTGAAACCAAGAAAAAAACCTCCAGGCTTCCGTCATAACTGTTAATTTATTGAAAAAAATGAAGAATTACAGGGGGCCGTTTGGAAAAAACGAATCCTGTTCGAATTGTCCTCTGGAATAACAGACATTCTGGGGTAATAATTACATAATCAACGTTCTCTAGTAATACTAGTCCCATGCAAATATACAATTCCAGCCAGAATAACCTACTGTTTTTCAGCAAACTCCAAGGTCCTCTCATAATACTAGTTTACCGAGACATTACAGCGTTTGACAGGTACTGCTCGAAGTTTGAGCAAGAAAACATAACTGATTTGATAAATTAATGCTTAAACAAAGTGCTGCATATATTTCATATGAATGGCCTGCATTTAGCAACTTTCACAGTGAATGATTGTGTTTATACGTTTTGTGCCATGGAATTAAAGTTGAACATCGCCAAATGTGTCAGTTTAATTAGGCCTAAATGTGGAATAAAAAATAATTGTGCCTATAGGCTTATTTAATGAAACCCTGGCTGTTGATGTAATAGGTAACTTATGACAAAGCAGGGCATCCCCGATTCCCCACTGAGCTAAACTTTTAGGAAATAGCAAGTTTATCATCCATAAAAGCATCTCAAGCAAATACTCTCCATACGCTCAAATCAGCAGGATGGGGGGCATTTTTATTAGGAGGGACATCTACCATCGATCGCTAAAATTATCATTATAATTACACTTCCTCAATTTAAATATTATGGGGACACCTATATATTTGGCAGCCAATCACAAGTTATCATTGTAGCTTATTATCGTTTAGACATGATGTTAAAATATCTTCACGCCTAGACTAAAAACCTCCACTCCAGGCTTACGTCATAGACTCAATTGAATGAAAAAAATAATAATTACAGTATGGAAAAACGAATCCTGTGAGAATCTTCCTCTGAAATAATGCACATGCTGGGATAATGATTACATACAGTGCCTTGCAAAAGTATTCATCCTCCTTGGCATTTTTCCTATTTTGTTGCATTACAATGTCACGATCGTCGTAAGAACCGGACCAAGGCGCAGCGTGATAGGCGTACATCTTTTAATGAGTACTTAATACAATCACAAAAACAACAAAACGATACGTGAAGTCTAAAGGTTCACAAACACAAACCTATAAAGAACAAGATCCCACAAATAACTGTGCAAAACAGGCTGCCTAAGTATGGTTCCCATTCAGAGACAACGAGCAACAGCTGCCTCTGATCGGGAACCACCCTGGCCAACATAGATCTAAACGATCTAGAATAAACACATAGAAACTACAACATAGAAACTAACACCCTGGCTCAACATAAAAGAGTCCCCAGAGCCAGGGCGTGACAGTACCCCCCCCCCAAAGGCGCGGACCGCGCCAACTAAACCCAACAGGGGAGGGGCCGGGTGGGCATTCCGCCTCGGAGGCGGATCCGGCTCCGGGCGTGACCACCACTCTCTCTCTCGCCCTCGTGGTCTGGCCCTGCTGGCCGGAGCTGGACTGAACACCGGTGGAGCGGATTGCTCTGGCTCCGGCGTGGAGCAGCTGACCGGTGCCGGACCAGGCACAGGTGGAACAGGCACGGACCGTGCCGGACTGACGACGCGCACCACTGGCTTGGTGCGGGGAGCGGGAACGGGCCGGACCGGGCTGACGACGCGCACCAATGGCTTGGTGCGGGGAGCAGGAACGGGCCGGACCGGGCTGACGACGCGCACCACTGGCTTGGTGCGGGGAGCAGGAACAGGCCGAACCGGGCTGGCGACGCGCACCACTGGCTTGGTGCGGGGAGCAGGAACGGGCCGGAACGGGCTGACCCCTGGGGACGCGCACCACTGGCTTGGTGCGGGGAGCAGGAACAGGCCGGACCGTACTGGGAACAAGACCACTGGCCTTGTGCGGGGATCAGGAACGGGCCGGACCGGACTGGTAACACACCCCAGTACCTCTCGCCGTGCCTCTACACTCTCCTTCCCCCTCATGACCAATGGCCCCCGTAACCTGGTGGCCTCCTCTCCTAGTCCACAAACTCGCCCTGTAGCTGCCTCCAGCAGCCCCGTCATCCATGCCGTGTGCCCCCCCAAAAAAATGTATTGGGGTTGCCTTTCGCCTGTCCGACGACGGCACGGTTGGCACCGTACCTCCTCTCTCGCCAGGGCTTTAACTTTTGCCCATGGCCCTTTGCCCGCGAACATGTCCTCCCAAGACCACCATTCGCCCACCTGGGACATCGCCAACTTCTCCAGTTCCTTACCCGGTGTCTGCTCCTGAACACGCTGCTTGGTCCTTCTTTGGTGGGATCTTCTGTCACGATCGTCGTAAGAACCGGACCAAGGCGCAGCGTGATAGGCGTACATCTTTTAATGAGTACTTAATATAATCACAAAAACAACAAAACGATACGTGAAGTCTAAAGGTTCACAAACACAAACCTATAAAGAACAAGATCCCACAAATAACTGTGAAAACAGGCTGCCTAAGTATGGTTCCCATTCAGAGACAACGAGCAACAGCTGCCTCTGATCGGGAACCACCCTGGCCAACATAGATCTAAACGATCTAGAATAAACACATAGAAACTACAACATAGAAACTAACACCCTGGCTCAACATAAAAGAGTCCCCAGAGCCAGGGCGTGACATACAACCTGTAATTTAAATGGAGTTTTATTTGGATTTCATGTAATGGACATACACAAAATAGTCCAAATTGGTGAAGTGAAATGAAAAAAATGACTTGTTTCAAAACATTCAAATAAATAAATAACGGAAAAGTGGTGCGTGCATATGTATTCACCCCCTTTGCTATGAAGCCCCTAAATAAGATCTGGTGCAACCAATACCTTCAGAAGTCATGTAATTAGTTAAATAAAGTCCACCTCTGTGCAATCTAAGTGTCACATGATCTGTCACATGATCTCAGTATATATACACCTGCTCTGAAAGGCCCCAGAGTCTGCAACACCACTAAGCAAGGGGCACCACCAAGCAAAGGCCCCAGAGTCTGCAACACCACTAAGCAAGGGGCACCACCATGCAAGCGGCACCATGAAGACCAAGGAGCTCTCCAAACAGGTCAGGGACCAAGTTGTGGAGAAGTACAGATCAGGGTTGGGTTATAAAAAAAGATCAGAAACTTTCAACATCCCACGGAACACCATTAAATCCATTATTAAAAAATTTAAAGAATATGGCACCACAACAAACCTGCCAAGAGAGGGCCGCCCACCAAAACTCACAGACCAGGCAATGAGGGCATTAATCAGAGAGGCAACAAAGAGACCAAAGATGACCCTGAAGGAGCTGCAAAGCGCCATAGCAGAGATTGGAGTATCTGTCCATAGGTCCACTTTAAGCCGTACACTACACAGAGCTAGGCTTTACAGAAGAGTGGCCATAAAAAAGCCATTGCTTAAAGAAAAAAAAAACCAAACATGTTTGTTGTTCGCCAAAAGGCATGTGGGAGACTCCCCAAACATATGGAAGAAGGCACTCTGGTCAGATTAGACAAAAATTGAGCTTTTTGGCCATCATGGAAAACGCTATGTCTGGCGCAAACCCAACACATCTCATCACCCCGAGAACACCATCCCATGATGTGGGGATGTTTTTCGTCGGCAGGGACTGGGAAACTGGTCAGAATTGAAGGAATGATGGATGGCGTTAAATACAGGGAAATTCTTGAGGGAAACCTGTTTCAGTCTTCCAGAGATTTGAGACTGGGACAGAGGTTCACCTTCCAGCAGGACAATGACCCTAAGCATACTGCTAAAGCTACACTCGAGTGGTTTAAGGGGAAACATTTAAATGTCTTAGAATGGCCTAGTCAAAGCCCAGACCTCAACCCAATTGAGAATCTGTGGTATGACTTAAAGATTGCTGTACACCAGCGGAACCCATCCAACTTGAAGGAGCTGGAGCAGTTTTGCCTTGAAGAATGGGCAAAAATCCCAGTGGCTAGATGTGCCAAGCTGAAAGAGACATACCCCAAGAGAGGTGGCTCTACAAAGTATTGACTTTGGGGGGGTTAATAGTTATGCACACACAAGTTCTGTTTCTTTGTCTTATTTCTTGTTTGTTTCACAAGAAAAAATATTTTGCATCTTCAAAGTGGTAGGCATGTATTTCCTATTCAAACTCATTTTATGTATGTTTTCATGGAAAACAAGGACATTTCTAAGTGACCACAAACGTTGTGTAAATCAAATGATACAAACCCCCAAAAATTCCATTTAAATTCCTGGTTGTAAGGCAACAAAATAGGAAAAATGCCAAGGGGGGTGAATACTTTCGCAAGCCACTGTAACTAACGTCTCTAATAATACTAGTCCTGTCCAAATAGGACTTTAAAGAGAATAGTGCAAGTTAAAGTACGCTCATCACTCTAACACTGTGTTGGTCTGATGGTGTGTTGCAGGTGATTCAGATGCACTGTAACTTGGAGTCAAATGAAGAAGGGACCAAAACTCATGTGAGTTTGACTATCATCTTCTTTTAAGTAATGGTGTCAATGTGTACAACCCTCCCATGTCACGTGACCTTTTGGAGTTACCATAACTGACATAACATAAAAATCCATTCTGATCCTCATTGCATTTGGGCGATAAGCATATTCTGTGTTGATAAAATGTATTCCTCTATCCTGTCCTCTCCTTAGCTCTCTCTGTTTCTTAAGATGGACGACAAGCTCCATCGACAACTTAGCTGTGACATCCTTCCAAGTGAGTTCTAATGGACACTTTCATATCCATTAATATGTTTTTTTACATATCGTTGTATGAGGCTGAACTATTTTGGATTAATCTTTCAGCTGACAGCTCCAAAGACCTTGCCAATGAACTTGTTCACTACGCCTTCATAAGTGAGGTAGGTATTCTTGTCGCCTAATGTTATTGCAAATGGCCTTTGTCATTCTAATTGATATTCTGTAATGATCTAACCTCTAACCCTGTGTAACCCCATGCAGGAGGACTGTGAGAAGCTGGCAGGATTCCTTGAGGACGCGCTCACCAGACACAAGGGCAAAGCGCTGGCCTCTGGGACCACACAGTGAGAAGGGGCCGCTACGGAAGCTGGCCCACAGAGAGGGGCCTCGGGCATTGACCACTCAAACAGAGCAAGACAGGGGCAAGAAGGCAGGATCACTCAGCCAGGATCAGAGGGGCTGGGTCCAGTGAGGGTTTGAAGGATTGGGCCTGATGAGTGGTGATTGGGACTGGGCCTGATGATTGGTGGATCATCCCAAAGAGGGCTAGGATAGGCCAGGACTGAGAGGGACAGAAAGCATATCCGGTTGGATGACCCAGAGGCATCATGGCTGGTTAAATTAATTTGAATTCAATCACTTTTTGACAACACCCCTTTTGATTTGAACAAAACCTTCCATACATATTTGCCCATTGTAGAAGTGCTCAGAAAGTGACATTCAAGTGATAAAGGTGCTCAAAGTTTACTGATTTAGCAAACTCCACCATACCATGAGACATCCAATTTCTTCATCACTGGAAAATATAATCAGTTGAGATTGATATAATTTAAAAGCTTACAAACAGGGTTGTGAAATATTTTATAATTTCTGGCAAAAATAAATAAAAATCATACTAATGTCATTTTTTTACCTTTAACGTCAATTTAATTTTAGCATATGTTGTAGCTCAGACCCTATTTTACATCATCTAAGGTTTTGTGTTAATGCCCGCCATCGGTTGAGACACAACATGCTCTTGAATAAATCAAATCACATTTTATTGGTCACATACACATATTTAGCAGATGTTATTGCGGGTGTAGCGAAATGCTTGTGTTCCTAGCTCCACAGTGCAGTAGTATCTAACAATTCACAACAATACACACAAATCTAAAAATAAAAGAATGGAATTAAGAAATATATAAAAATATTAGGACGAGCAATGTCGGAGTGGCATTGACTAAAATACGGTAGAATAGAATACAGTATATACATATGAAATGAGTAAATCAGTATGTAAACATGATTAAATTGACTAGTGTTCCATTATTAAAGTGACCAGTGATTCCATGTCTATGTACATAGGGCAGCAGCCTCTAACGTGCAGGGTTGAATACAGGGTGAGTGTCATGTTTTGGCAGAAAAATGGGAATAAAATGAAAATGTCAACTTTCAAATGGTACCACAAAGATCATCAGAGCATGTTGACTTGAATGGGAATATTTGTTGTTTTAAATCTTTCTGAAAATATTTTCTTTCTGACCACTTCTTCCATGGGCAAACATGCATGGAAAGTTTTGTTTAAATCAAAAGGGATGCTGTCAAAAAGTGATTGAATTCAAATGAATTTACCCGGCTGTGTTCAGCTATCCCACAATGCAGTGGAAGATTGATAAGTCCCCCTGCCTAAAAGGGCTGTAATGCCTTAAGATGTCATCATCCATAATGCCACTACTATACTGTACTGCCAGTAGAGATGTTTCCAATGATGGATGGATGTAGTGCATTCAAGAAGAACCAATAAAACAGCTATGTTTTTATGTTATTTTACAGTCTTTTAATTAATAGTTGATAACTCCAGAAATGTACATTTGGAAGTTGTTTTTGGAAAATAATAAAAGAAAAAGGCTCCCTAGTTTTATAAGCCCAAGCAATACCTACCGTAGAAATATCTAGCTCTTAGAGAGCAAATTTGATGACAAAGATAAGAACCGTCCAACATGCATGGTTAACATGCTAACACTTAAGTTAACTTCATTATTTTTGCTTAGTTCTATGAACAGCATTAGCGTTGCACAGACCTCTTTTTCTGTTGACGTTTTAATGGTATATAATGGTCTTCAAAACACACTCGCAGTGCATTCTACCAGTGCTTTGCTAGCCTGAATGACTCTCCATGCGTTAGTAGTAACGAGCAATGAGATGATGCCTCTCTTTTAGCCTGTAGTGCTCTTAAGGGTTTTCCCTGTGAAAGTGTTCTGTAAGCCAAAGACTTGCAAAGTGCCTGTGATGGCAACCCACTATGTACAAAACCCATAATACATAACTACACAGCAACAGAACGCAACTTCAGAATATGACAAAAACTCCAGACAGTCAACGATTCAGTCTATTGGGTTGGTGTCAACAGAATACTATACTTTTCATTTATTCTGAAAACCAGCTTGTGAATGTGTTGAGGGACCACAGCTTGTACTCTAGAAATGTCTAAATCCATTCTAGAAAATGAATTGCAGCTAAACACAGAATATAGTCTACTCTGATTGAGCCATTTCAGAATATGATTATGAATGGAGGGTTTTGTTAAATAGTAGAGGGTTTAAAATAAATAATGCCCAGAATAAAAATGATTTGAAAGCAATTCATTACTATTCTGCTGAACGATATAACTACTACAGTACACAACACAAAAAAGCATGATATACTTTCTGTAGGTTGAAGCTGAATTCTGCATTAGTAAAAGTGTTATTTGGCTGTTCTGTCCACAGATGTCCAATGCATTCTAAAGCAAGCAAAAGTAAATAATTGATCTGTTGCAGTGGGATTTAGTAATTTATGGATGCCTTTAAAGTAAAAAATAAATAAAAAATAAAAGTTGCTTTATCAATCTTGAACAGTATACACTGAGTGTACAAAACATTAGGAACACCTTCCTAATATTGAGTTGCACCCCGTTTTGCCCTCAGAACAGCCTCAATTCATCGGGTCATGGACTCTACAAGGTGTCGAAAGCATTCCACAGGGATGCTGGCCCATGTTGACGCCAATGCTTCCCACAGTTGTGTCAAGTTGGCTGGATGTCTTTTGGATGGTGGACCATTCTTGATACACACAGGAAGCTGTTGAGCGTGAAAAACCCAGCAGTGTTGCAGTTCTTGACACACTTAAACCAGTGCGCTTGGTACCTACTACCACACCCGGTTCAAAGGCACTTACATATTTTGTCTTGCCCATTCACCCTCTGAATGGCAGGCACACACACAATCTATGTCTCAATTGTCTCAAGGCTTAAAAATCCTTCTTTAACCTGTCTCCTCCCCTTCATCTACACAGATTGAAGTGGATTTAACAGGTGACATCAATAAAGGATGATAACTTTCACCTGGTCAGTCTGTCATGGTGTTCCTATTGTTTTGTACACTCAGTGTATATTCTTCAGTACCTGCATCTGTTAACAATATGACGTTTTCCTTATCCTATCAGTAAATCTTTGGTCCTATTACAATTACACTCCTGTATAGATGTTGCATAATATGCTCATTGCTCTTAAAATGTCAAGCCTTTTATCAGCTAGTCTCTTGGGGAAAGCTTTTTTCCCAGTCATTTATCTGTAGGATATGGTGTACATAAATATGTCTGTGTCTGTTCAAAGGTGTTTACCTTGAACAGAAGTATGAATGCTCGGAGTGGTGCTACTGTTGTCTAGTAGTCTGCAATGCATGTCTTAATAATAGCTCCAAACTGTTCAGACTCTTCTTTTCCAAGATTGCCTTAGTCATTGACAGAGCTCCATTGACTGACTCCAGGGGTAACCTGATCAAGAAAAATGAATGTTCAGACTAAGCAAAGCCCATCCATCCATTAGTCTTTTTCCGTAGCTATCACTTCTTTCTCCTGAGTCTGGATTCTGTTGTATGTCGGCTCTTTATTGTACTGGACGTGTTCTACTTATCCTTCTGTAAAATATTGTACTGCAATGAATGACAATAAAACAATGTGATGTCACATCATGGTGAGACTGCGTTTACAGAGGGGTTTTGAATGTTATTATATCTTGGAGTCCTGACTTAGTTACATTCAATTTTACATATCAACATCAAGACACAGATAACTAACCATTTTTATTTTTTAGAGAATTCAGTTCTAGGGGCCTCTCAGCAGATAGATCGTGACAAGGGGCAGGTTACACTTATTAAAACAGTTTTACTTAAAGCTAGAATCCTTGTTGCTACATCCATTTTTGGACATATAAATGAATGATATATACACATTGATTATTGAAGAATATAACTTATTAATGCCTCATGAGCTTAGTTCAACTGTCGTAACCCATCAGAACCCAAAATATAAGCTTATTTTACTCCAATATTAGTAAACAATGTAAATGTAAACAAACACTGTATAGCCTCAAAACATGGTTAAAACCAGAGCCATATATATTAGGCTCTGGTTTAAACTATAATTTTCTATATCATGGATGGTCAGACAGAGGCATCCATACCTCTGTCTATGAATTTGAGAGTTAACATTTCTCCAGGCCTATCCCTCAGCTTTTTAGCAGAACTGAGGTGGGGTCAATGCTTTGTTATTGTTTCAATTACGGATTCTAGCTTTAATCTGTCCTGAATATGACCCCCCACATTTTTTTTTGATGAATGTAAAGCAATCTTATGGCTACATCAACACTACACTGTGTAATGCAAAGCACCTGGCTACTTTTGTCAAAGAAAATGGGCAAAAAAACATGAAACCAAACCTGGCAACCCTGAACTGTGCATGAACATCCTGGGCCCGGTTTCCCAAAAGCATATTAAGGCTAAACCCGCTGACAGACAGCGCCGGTGGACGGGGTGGCCCATTCATTTTCAATGAAGCCTCTATCCAGTCGGAGCGGTCAGCGGTGCTCAATGGAAGCTACTCAGCCAGCCGAGGCGGAGAAAGTAGGATTCTGCTCTATTTTTCAAGCGGTTCCATCGTTGTTGACCAATCATAGTTGAAAACGTAGCCTGCGTGGTGATACGTCAGAACATATGTCCAACAGCAGGACCAGCTAACTTGCCCACTCTAGCCTAGGAATTTATGCCACGTTCAAGTACTCGTCGGAGCTAGGAAACTCTGACATTTCCGACTTGCTAACTGGTTGTAGTTATGCACGTGCCTAGGTGGCTAACACTATCATTTACAGAATCACGTTTAACCATAAAAATAATTATTTTCTAATCCATTTTTGGATTATTAATTTCTGTTGCATGTAAACACATCTTTATGCATGCTAGCGATTCTTTTTTCACACGTCGATAATTTTTTTCCATTTCCGTTGCTATTTTCACCAGTGGCTGTCAATTGGACTGTGGGCTTTCACCAAG